AAATGTATGTTTATGCAAAACTTTTCACCAACCTCCAGCTTCCAAGGCATCAATACCATTTCTATTTCCTGCAAAAGTTATTTATACTGATTTTTCAGTTTAGGTGTCAATGCATTCCCAAGTGAGACTAGGCAGCACATACCTCAAAGAATCCATCTTCAGTGTTGATTTTTTCACCTTTGAAGACTGGAAACACATCATTTTCAATTGGCTTCAGTCCTTGTGTGGTATTCATGGCATTCTGCATAGCTTCTGTCACTTCCTTTATTTTGCCATAACAATTTGCTGGGGAGGCAATTGTAATATAAGCTTTCACAGAATAGCCTATCCAACATAGTTTTACCTGACCTCACCTTTTTACTATTCCTTAACCCAATGACGCCGGGTGTACAAAAGGAAAATAAAACTCTACGCTCTGGCAAACAAAGGCAGCGCGCCGACTTTGAGCGCCGGAGTACGGGGCGTCAGCCCGAATCACTGGCTCGCCGCGCTTTGGCGCGCCGCCGGCTGGTTTGGCCGTACGCCACCTTTCAAGCGATTTGTTTACACGCGTATCGCCGTCACCCGGCGGCAAGGGGTTAAAATTTCATGAAAAAAAAAAAAAAAAAAAAAAAAAATTTGCTTTACTATCATAATTGACATTAACCTATTGCCGCCGGGGAAAATGAACAAAAAATGGGGAAAATGCTGTGCCTATTTTCTATACTTTTTTGTTAAATGTCTGCCCATAGATGGCTCTGTTAGCGCCTGATTTGAAACACGTATTTTTCACTAGTGCCACGAATATTGATGATGTTATTTTTATCATAAACGTTGTAATTTTTATAATGTTTTTTAACATTAGTAACAGCAAAATAAGATACCGTAAAATATTTCATAAATCAAAGAAAAGGGTGAACGGGCGAGACAGGCGGTACTCGTAACTGGCTCATTGGTGATTTAGTACAAGTGTAGCCATCTATGTGTGAAAACAATCTAACAAGTAATCTCACAGTGGCCATGGCATGGCATGCCCGGCGGGAATGGGTTAATGTAATTATCATATATTTTTTAATGTCACAGAATACCCTATCCACCATGATTTTGTTTCATTTTGTTTACATATAAATGGCTTCAAAAAGCTCATTACTAGGCTGGCTAACCTTACCTGTTTACTATTCATTAAAATTTTATGAAATAACTTTTATTTGCTTTACTATCATAATTGACATCAATGTAATTATCATATTTTTAAAATTGTCATTATTGTAACATAACTTATACTAATACTGGTAACATTAAAACAAACATTATTTTCACAAAAATTTAAGTAAATAAATGAGGTTAGGCATGTTTACCTATTGAATCCTTTGTTAATAAGCACTTAAATTTGTAAACAATATCAATAAAACAAAAACATAGTGGCCAGCTCATTTATACATGATATTACTGGATTAAAAGCAAAAACATATAGGTAAAATTACTGTGTAATAGTAATAATAGGTAAGAACTAAGTATAAATAAAAATAAGAAAAGAGTTTAGACAGAAAAAGACCTGTTACTAATACATTTCTATATTACATCAAATAAAGGCAAGTAAAGTTTCCTAAAATCCATAATGCTAGTTATTCATCATGTTTTAAAATCTCTTCACTTAAATATATATACTTTGTTCCTGGCACTTTACTATATGCACATACAAAATTTAAACTCTGAGGAGGAGGTGTGTAAACTTACGACACAGACGGCCAGGTTCATGAACATGGCCACAGTTGTTACAGGTGAGCAGTTTCAATACTGGTAGCATTTTCTTGTGTCCTGTTTCTGAACCAAACTTCCTTGTCAACCTCTTCTCTCTGCTTCTACGATTCTTGGGTACAGCCCACAAGATGCCTTCACCAATCAAATCTTGAAGGGGACTCTGGCTGCCTGAAATGGCTTGTTGTTGTGGTACATGCTCCACACACACCATAGCTGCACTGGGGGGAGGCCCTGAAAAGTGAAGAACTAGTAGTAGCTTTGTAGTTTCCTTTTATTCTCTTCCATATCATATTTGACTGATGATTTTCACCACATACGGGATGCAGTATATAGACTGGGACACATGATAGAAAGACTATATTAGTCATGGTAGAAAAACCCACAATATGAAACTAGATTTACTGAAAGTGAGACTACAGTTTCAAAATCCACCTGAACAATTCCAAGCAAAGTTCATAAGTTTGTTAATTCTATCCTGTCCAATCACTTATGCAAGCATAATTCTATGTAAAATGCAAACTTTCCAAGCAATACATAATATGTACAATACTTGTATTAGTACCTACGCAACTATGCAATAAGTGATGTATGGTTTCAGTGTATAATTTACATTAGTTTTCTGTCAAACCCTCTTGCTTGCAAGAGCTAATATCATCTTTTGAAGAAAAAAGGTAGAGTATTTAGGAAGGGGCTCTTGCATTCTTTCTGACAATAAATTAGTGTGGAATGCATAATCATTTATTAAATAAACCACAGTATGCGGGTACTAATTTTTTATAGAATATTTTTGTGAAATATCTCTGTCCATAGATGGCTCTGCTACTCCTGATTTCACCTTCCCTTGAATTGGCGGGAAAAAACGTATTCTTACTAGTGCTATAAATATAGATGGTGTTATTTTTAACAGCAAATTAGGATAACGTTAAATATTTTCGTAAATCGATGAAAAGAGTGAACAGGCGAGACAGGCAGTACTCGTAATTGGCTCACTGGTGACTTAGTACAAGTGTAGCCATCTATGTGTAAAAACAATCAAACAAGTCGACTCACAGTGGGCATGGCATGTACGTACATGCCATCCCAGGCGGCAATGGGTTAATAGTTAATTCTAATAACAAATAAGAAAGAATGCATAGGATAATCTCTACCTCAAATCCTTTCATGGTTTTCTGTACTAATTGCATTAGTGAAACTTGATTCTAACTTACATGCGTGTTTCTCATATCTTACAGATTGTAATTTGTATAATATTTGTGTTTCCTGCTCTTTTCAAAAGTTAGAGAGAGCAAATTACTTATTTGTAAGTATTTGCCAGTCATGTACCTTTCCAATCATTTGACTAAATATAATATATTTGGATAGGTTAATGATTAGGATAAGATGTTAGATGTCAAAGGTCATAGAATGCTGTAGGATAGAGAGGTAGTGAAAAGGGTATAGAGGGAACAAATGGAATATGGTGGGGATTTGTAAGAGGAGAAGGGGTTAAAGGTATAGGGCAATCAAATCAAATTGAGGGTATGTGTCTGGGGAAGGGAGAGTAACCCTGTATGAGGAAAACTGTAAAAGAGCCATTATGAAACAATTAAAGGCAATATGGGTAGAAATGGTACTTGTCAAATTAGGAGAAGAATCCAGATAATTAGAATTTGGGGAAGGTGGGATCAGAAGAGTTTGCTTCATACCAAATCATTTATATTATCATTGGGAAGATTCCTAATGACCCACAAGCTGGCCTTGCCAGAATTATCACTTAAGCAACAGTCATATTAGGCTTCTCTGGCCGGAGACAGACACGCTGACTGTCTGTCAGATATAGGGCAGAATTGGGTTCCCCTGCAGAGAAACCTAGGTCCAGAAAAGATCATAATGGATTCTATGACTATCACTGCATATCAACTGAAGAGTCAAGAAAAAGGACACTAAACTTAAAAGAAATGTATGCAACATATAATAATTTGGTATACATTTACAGGGAAATGCAATGGCATTATTATAAAGGAAGGGAAAAAAACTAATTTCAAAGTTCTATGAAATAATCAGTGCAGGCAAAGAATAATGGTAGAAATGAAGAAAACAGGTGACAAATGTCATTTGGAGCCTAAGTCCATTGTGATTGGATAGAGGTCAAAGGGCAGCCCCTGATAGGGAAATATAGTGATTGGGTGGGGGTCTCATATGGTGATATTTAAAGATTCCCAGAAATGGCTGGAGCAATAGAGACTTAGTCTCAGTGGGGTGATGTCACTTCATTAATAATTACCAATACTTTCTTTAACCCCTTGGTGCCGGGTGACGCCGATCGGCGTGTACACAAAGAGCTCGAAAGCTGGTGTGCAGCCGAACGAGCCGGCGGCGCGCCAAAGTGCGGCGAGCCAGTGATTCAGGCTGATGTCCCCTACTCACGCGCTCAAAGTCGGCGCGCCGCCTTTGTTTGTTTAAGCGTAGAGTTTTTTTTTTTTCTTTTGTACACCCGGCGCCATTGGGTTAACATCATTTGCAATGAAAAATATTGAAAATAATTTTCTTGAACAGGACTAAAAGTTGCAGCTGTCAGTACAAGAAATTATATGCAGACATGAATGGTAACACCATAAATAAAGGAAAAAGACTGTGGGAAGTGCCAATCACAGCTTCAGTTCAAACACTGCTTCTCAGTTCCAGAAATTCATGCATTTTACGAAGTGAATAAATGAAACAGGAATAAGGTAAATGTTTAGAGTACCTTCCCATAACTGATCATGATGATAGTGGTACTGATGGAATTCCTCTTTCTCTCTACTACCCATATATATAGGATACTTGACACAAAAACCCCCCAGACACACATATCCTTGGTCCCAATAACAGGGGTGAGCATGAAACTGCAGGGAAAAATATAAATAATATACATGAAATATCCATAGAATAAGCTACTATATTCTCTAATGCAGGGGACTATGACCCTGCAACTTCCCTGGGTAGCTGCCCCCCCCAACCTCCAGCCTGAAAGACAAAGAATGCATCAAGCATTCATAGCAAATAGAACGCACAACCAACATTCGGGGTAAACGTGCCAAGATACAGCCTAGAAATGATAACTTAACCCATTGGCCACGGATTTATGTTCTGTCCCCTGTTGGTTTTGGTGAATTTTGCTACCTACAGATGGCTCCACATGTACTCAGCCGGCAAGGAGTCTATCAGTAGGCCCTAGTTACCGACCCTGATTTTCCCATTCATTGAATTGGCGGGAAAATTAATATCATTGCTTTCGATGCTGTTATTATTGTTACTGATGTTATGATGATTGAATTGTCATTAGAATATTTTTGACAATAAGATGATACAAAAAACCCTTTCCGAAAGTGAAGGAAAAGGCTAAACAGGTGAAATAGGTAGTTCTTGATAACTGGCTATTTGGTGATTAAGAACTTGTAGAGCCATCTATGTGTAAATACAATAAATAAACGTGTATCAAAGTGGGTATGGCATCTATTCTTGCCATCCGCGGCGAATGGGTTAATAACCTAATAGATGGTAGACTATGATCTTTAATACCCCACATTCTATTCAGTATATCAGGCTGAGTATGTCACAGATCAGTATGCTGCTACTCAAGCTACATTCCTTTACCCATGTAATTCACTATTGCACCGTCCTGCTGCCCATATGTGATGGATTCTTTGTTGTTCACAGACAGTTGTATCGATGGATTCCTCCCCCCCTCCCCCCCCCTCTCTCTCTATTATCCATATATATAGGACATTGGTTATGTTACTGAGGGAAATGCACAAAGGTAGAATTTCTTTGTTTCTGGAGTGCATTGCTCTCATTAATAAATACCAGAACAATTGCCCAGGAAACCTCCCAGTCCCCCACATTCTTGGCCTCAATAGCAGGGGAGGGCATGAAAAGTAAGAGGGAAATTGTTACTTTGATATACACAAAATATGTCACTATAATAATAATATATACAGAATAAGTTTCAAGGGGCAACTGTTTGTACTGAACAATTTTGTGTATATTATTGTTAAAGAAATGCATTTGTAACTATGTGTAAGTGTGTATTGGTAGCGATGATAAAGTGTGCCAAACCAACTGTTGCATGATTGGCTGCCTGAGTGTGAATGACCGGTAAGGGTTGTGAAAAGGCATCAATGAGCATGAGCATGTTCTGAGGCTGCAGCTATGACTTGCACTTGATTGTTCTCCCCAAGTAAGAGTGACTGCGTGATTATGTTGGGTCACAGGAGAAGTGTGATGCTGCGCCGAAGCTGATCAATAAATCCTGTGGACTTCAATAAACCATTGATTGCTACCTGCCTGTCATTTAACATCCCCGCCATCTCCGTGAACACTCGTCAGAAGCTGCTCACCTAACCCATTAGGACAGGTAGTAAACAAGTACAGCATCCTGACATACAGTAAGTTGTGTGAAGCAATCAGTACTGGGAGAGGAAAATAAATAAAAATTCTACACTCCGGAGATTAATGGCAATGAGCAGACTTAGGGTACAGGAGTCCACTACATCAAGCCGAACGTCCCACTCCAAGCACTCTGGCACATCGCCGTGGCCCACAGTTGTACCCCGCAGGCTGTGCAGTTTGTTATGACGCCAGTAGGCATGGCCTGTCAGTAAGGGATTAACTCCTTCACGACGAGTGACGCCGATAGGCATGCAAACAAACCGCTCAAAAGCTGGCGTGCGGCTGTACGCCGCGGCAGCGCGCCGAAGCGCGGCAAGCCAGTGATTCAGGCTGATGTACTGAACTCACGTGCTCAAAGCCAGCGTGCCGCCATTGTTTGCCAGAGTGTATATATATATTTTTTTTTTCTTCACCCGTCACCATTGGGTTAATGACCTCACCTACTATCAGGACAAAGAATGTAGGTAATAGGGGGGGGGGGGCTTCTGTTACATAACCCAATGTTAAGGGGAAAATTAATTTAAAAATTGGGGAAAATGCTGTGCTCGTTTTCTATATTTTTTGTGAAATGTCTGCACAAAGATGGCTCTGCTAGTGCTTAGCCACAAAGGAGTCAATTAGCAGACCTTGTAACCTTATGTGATTTGGTGGGAAAATGTACTTTTTTCTAGTGCTATGACTATCAATGGTGTTATTTCATTATAGACATTACAATTACTATAACATCACTAACATTAGTAACAGCAAAATAAGATAATTTATAATATTATCATAAATCAAAGAAAAGGGTGAACGGGTGAGACAGGCAGTACTCGTAATGAGCTCATTGGTGACTTAGTACAAGTGTAGCCATCTATGCGTAAAGTGTAGTCTATGTGTAAAAAGTGTAGTCTATGTGTAGTAGTGTAGTATACAAGTGTAGTCTATTTGTAAAAACAATCAAAAAAGTACTCACAGTGGCATAGCACGTACGTACACGTCATACGTTGGCATTGGGATCATTTCTATGTAATGGAGAGAGAGAGGAATCCATCCAAACAAGTGACGTCCTGATCGGTCATGCCATGATACTTTGAACAGTTTCAAATAAAAATTGCGAGGTTGGATGGCTGCGTTACACCGAAGAATTACCGAAACAAGTCCCTGTGGATTTCTCCCTTAATTCAGGCACACAACTGATGAGCCAAAGAATCAGTCCTTGAGGATTTTTGTAGGTAGTCTTCTCATTGTTATGAAAAGGAAATTCTGCCAAATATCATATTTCTGCTGCCTTACCATGTGAAAATAGACTGCTTATCAACCTGTCGAGGGTTCTATCGGCCAGCGAGAGATTTTCCTGCAGGAGCCTCAGAAATCTCGCCATGTTTACGTCGTCTCCGGCGCCAGGGTTCACACACTAAGGAGCTTCGTTGTCGTGAATCAGGATTCTCTAGTCGAATTATGTTTTGTAAAGATAGCAGATATCTATATATCTATTTTGTTATTAAAATTGATATGGCTATATCTATCATAATTGGTTGATTGAGGCTATAATTCTTTAAGAAAATAACCACGGATGTTACACTTTATTTGAGTGATTATTGTGTTAATATATCTAGAAAGTCATATAATATAAAAGTTATATATAATTCCTATTATTATGTTCAAACTTTTAATTATATTTTTTAACGAAAAAAACTTAATGGTTTCTTAACCCTGCTTCTGACATAACCATACATCTTTTGATATATAAACTAAAGCTTTCACTCAAGTGATAATAATATTCGTTATTCTTGACTTTTTACTCAGACTTCGGCCAGCCGAGTATCATATGAAAAAACGTCAGTTTTGAATTTCCTGGAATCAATTGTAAAGCTGCTTTCCCTCCGCCGTCTGCCGAGAGGCCTCGTCCACCATCGGCAGTGTCGTGCGGGCCGCCGTCAGGGTTAGATATATTGCTGCGTCGCTCTGCTGTAGTGAGTCCTTGTAAGCCATGACCAGCTCAATGCGGGGCCCCGCAGCTCGTCTGCTGGATACGATCTTAAACCGTACATCGGTACACGCAACCACAAGGAATATATATCGTTCATATAGTGGATATGTGATGTGTGGACTTAAACGAGGATATGACGCTTCGAGATTGACTTCTATGATGGTAAGTAAAATGATTTTAGGGCGAGACATTTTGCCGGGAAGAAGTGTGTGGGTCGGGCCCCCGAAGAGGGATAATGGAGCCGGTGAGGTTGTCTGCCGCTTTATACAAGACTCCTTCCTTATTTAAGAGGGGAAGTAAAAACTTTAGGTGTAGAAATTGCGTCTTGTTTATTCCTTGACACCTGTAGTTAACAGTGGATAGTGTTACATCGGGATACGAAAGAAAACTAACGAATAGCGAGGATGTTTCATGGGTTACTGAACGCAATCAGCTGATGGGCCTTATGAAATGGGCAGACGATGCATAGCGCTTCTGAGCTTTTCACGGGGTCACTAAAGCAGTGCTACTCTATCCGATCTTCGTTTGACCTTTAAATTAGGTTCCTTTTCATGAAACGCGATTAGTTTAACATTCCAAACACGTATAAATAACAGTAAGGGGAGTGGACATGCAGTGAAGCTGTAAACGCTGTTTAGGTAAAGGGAAGTCTCCGGCCATTCATCAGTCGAGGATTAGGGTATCTATTTTTGACAATGCACGGATTCCGACAGTATAACGGTAGACTATCCATTATGATCTTGCATACTAAGATATTTGATGTCGGTTTCAGAGGTATGCACTAACCAGAATCACTAATGCGTTTGTAGATGGACGACATTAAGAAAAAATCCGCCTCTAATGTTGTGATTACATTTTAATTTTCCTTATCATTCCCTTGATTCATTGCCTGTATTGTTTTCTCGTCTTCCTTTTTGTGCCATTCTTTTATGCGTGATTTGGATGTCACCCGCAATATTGTAACAAGTATTATTTCTATCAGTACTGCATGCAGCATTGCTCCTGTAAAATATTTATTTGTAAATTTGTTTACATTGGGAACTTGTGTAAATCCACTTTGTCGTTTCGGCCTCACCTATCAGTTGAATATTTACCCATTTTAGTTGTCCCATGTGCTTTTCCTTGTCACATTCAGCCTAGAATACTAAAATGTGGGACTAAACGGAAGCACTGTCCTGTACGTAGGGCCAACAGCCACTAATGTATTCGTACGTGTGATGCAACCGCGTTATGTAAGGGGCGGTCAGAGTCTTGGTTTAGCTGTCTATTGTTACTGTGAATGTTAATGTGGATAAGATGAATTCAATACATGTGGTCTGGATTCTCTTGGCCTTAGTGTTATGTCAGTCGAAGAAAAGAAAAACGGAAAGATGTGTATTGGTGTGCTTCTTATACCCCGCCTAGTTTTCCCTTAGCGGCCCACCTCTCCCCTCAGCGGCCCACCTCTCCCCTCAGCGGCCCACCTCTCCCCTCAGCGGCCCACCTCTCCCCTCAACAGCCCACCTCTCCCCTCAGCGGCCCACCCCTCCCCTCAGCGGCCCACCCCTCCCCTCAGCGGCCCACCTCTCCCCTCAGCGGCCCACCTCTCCCCTCAACGGCCCACCTCTCCCCTCAGCGGCCCACCTCTCCCCTCAACGGCCCACCTCTCCCCTCAGCGGCCCACCTGTCCCCTCAGCGGCCCACCTCTCCCCTCAACGGCCCACCTCTCCCCTCAACGGCCCACCTCTCCCCTCAACGGCCCACCTCTACCCTCAACGGCCCACCTCTCCCCTCAGCGGCCCACCTTTCCCCTCAGCGGCCCACCTTTCCCCTCAGCGGCCCACCTCTCCCCTCAGCGGCCCACCTCTCCCCTCAGCGGCCCACCTCTCCCCTCAACGGCCCATCCCTCCCCTCAGCGGCCCACCTCTCCCCTCAGCGGCCCACCTCTCCCCTCAGCGGCCCACCTCTCCCCTCAGCGGCCCACCTCTCCCCTCAGCGGCCCACCTCTCCCCTCAGCGGCCCACCTCTCCCCTCAGCGGCCCACCTCTCCCCTCAGCGGCTCCCCTCTCCCCTCAGCGGCTCCCCTCTCCCCTCAGCGGCTCCCCTCTCCCCTCAGCGGCTCCCCTCTCCCCTCAGCGGCTCCCCTCTCCCCTCAGCGGCTCCCCTCTCCCCTCAGCGGCTCCCCTCTCCCCTCAGCGGCTCCCCTCTCCCCTCAGCGGCTCCCCTCTCCCCTCAGCGGCTCCCCTCTCCCCTCAGCGGCCCACCTCTCCCCTCAGCGGCCCACCTCTCCCCTCAGCGGCCCACCTCTCCCCTCAGCGGCCCACCTCTCCCCTCAGCGGCCCACCTCTCCCCTCAGCGGCCCACCTCTCCCCTCAGCGGCCCACCTCTCCCCTCAGCGGCCCACCTCTCCCCTCAGCGGCCCACCTCTCCCCTCAGCGGCCCACCTCTCCCCTCAGCGGCCCACCTCTCCCCTCAGCGGCCCACCTCTCCCCTCAGCGGCCCACCTCTCCCCTCAGCGGCCCACCTCTCCCCTCAGCGGCCCACCTCTCCCCTCAGCGGCCCACCTCTCCCCTCAGCGGCCCACCTCTCCCCTCAGCGGCCCACCTCTCCCCTCAGCGGCCCACCTCTCCCCTCAGCGGCCCACCTCTCCCCTCAGCGGCCCACCTCTCCCCTCAGCGGCCCACACCTCCCCTCAGCGGCCCACCTCTCCCCTCAGCGGCCCACCCCTCCCCTCAGCGGCCCCCCCCCCCTCAGCGGCCCACCCCTCCCCTCAGCGCCCCACCTCTCCCCTCAGCGGCCCACCTCTTCCCTCAGCGGCCCACCTCTCCCCTCAGCGGCCCACCCCTCCCCTCAACGGTCCACCCCTCCCCTCAGCGGCCCACCTCTCCCCTCAGCGGCCCACCCCTCCCCTCAGCGGCCCACCCCTCCCCTCAGCGGCCCACCCCTCCCCTCAGCGGCCCACCCCTCCACTCAGCGGCCCACCTCTCCCCTCAGCGGCCCCCCCCCCCCCTCAGCGGCCCACCCCTCCCCTCAGCGCCCCACCTCTCCCCTCAGCAGCCCACCTCTTCCCTCAGCAGCCCACCTCTTCCCTCAGCGGCCCACCTCTCCCCTCAGCGGCCCACCCCTCCCCTCAACGGTCCACCCCTCCCCTCAGCGGCCCACCCCTCCCCTCAGCGGCCCACCCCTCCCCTCAGCGGCCCACCCCTCCCCTCAGCGCCCCACCTCTCCCCTCAGCGGCTCACCTCTCCCCTCAACGCCCCCCCCACCTCCCCTCCAGCTCTCCCTCCATGTGCGTGGGATATCCTTTCTTGCGTGAATGTCATTTATCGAGTTTTTAGCCGCGTTCATCTACTTCAGGTCACATACTGACTTATACATATTTTCAAATTTTGCTTTGTGAAACACTTACGAAAACCTAGAAATGGCTCTGCATGACGTGGCTGCATCGCATGACAGAATACAGGGAGGGGCGCAGCTCTGACCTGTTGGTGGAAAAACGCCAGCCTCAGGGGGTTGTCTCTGGTCGGCCTTATGGTGTAGAGGAGCACAGGGTGGGGGCCGGCGCGGGAGCGGGTTGCTGTTGAAAAAGGGCGACGAGCAACGAAATGACAGGGAGACAAGGGGAGCTGGCAGGGGGCCGCAAATACACTGCCGTGGGCGCGAGGAAAGGCAGGGCAAAAAAAGGAAAGAAAAAAAAAAAGAGGGGCGTGGCGAAGCGGAGGGCAGCGAAAGAGGGTAGGTGGAAAAAGGAGCAGGCGGGAGACGCTTCGGTAAAGACATCGGGCGGCGCTCGTTGGGTCACCAGGCAAGAGGGCCCCAACCGGCCCGCGTTGCGGGGGCACCGGCCGAAGCGGCATGGGTGAGGGCGGGAGGGCGCGAGGGAGAACGAGGGTCACACAAGAGGCTGTGGCTGGGCGGGGGGGGCCGTGGGAAGGGGGCGAGGAGGGCGGGCAAGCGGCCAGAGGCACGCCGGGAAGCCCACGACAAGCCGGGTCAGGGGAAGGAAGTTGGCATGGGCCGGCAAGGCAAAGAAGCGCGAAGTGGCCAGGGAAGCAGCGGGAGCCAGGCCGGGCAGGCAGGCGGGAAGGAGGGGGAGCGGGGAAGAGGGCGAGCACGAAAGAGGAGGCGGAGGGCAAAAAGACATGAAACGCGGGGACAAGAGAAGGGAAAGAGAGAACAGAGACGAAGATCGAGGAGAGGTAGGGAGAGAGAGAGAGATGGAGAGAGAGAGCAGAGAGAGAGATAGAGAGAGATAAGGGAGAGAGAGATAAGAGAGAGAGAGAGAGAGAGAGCAGAGAGAGAGAGAGAGAGAGAGAGAGAGGAGATAGCGAGAGGAGAGTAGAGTGAGAAGAGAGAGGAGAGACAGAGAGATGATGAGAGAGATGAGAGAGGGAAAGGCGGGGTGCAAAGGAGAAGAGAAGAGAGAGCTGAGAGAGGGAGAAGAGAGGGGTGGGAAGA